CTTTTAATAATAATCTAGTATGTAGTAGTTTGTAATTTTAGTAAATGTTTAGTTTTAATTTTTCAATCTTTTAGATCTTGTGCATTATTCTCTTGTAAATTGAATGGAGGATCCCTTTTGGGAGACCCAATAGATTATTGTTATTGTGTTACTGTAAKAAAAATTCTGTAATTAACATTGAGAAATAAAGTATAGTAGTCAATAGACAACTAATGAAATAAAACTGTTCATATTTGAGCTTGTAACGTTGTAAACAAAGAAAACTCTGTACCATTTATTCAAATGAAATATAATTTTTATATAGATATTAACATAGGAGGTTTATGTGCAAATAATATGACCAATGTTCATAAATTATTKAATAATACCTGCATCTGATGCCCCAGGGGATTCTGATGTATTAGTTACTTTTCTGCTTGTTTCAAAGATTTCATCTGGGAGACTGAATTCTGCTTCTTCATTTGGGAAGGGAAGACTTTCAAGTTCATCCTGATCAAAACAATAGAAATAACATTCATAAAGTGGTATTAATTAGGTACAATTAAAGAGACTTATATTAGTAGAAATTGTAGCTATTTTAATCTAGAAAAGGACAAATATCAGACATCAATCTCTTTCTATATTTTCACTGCCATAGAGACTAAAGTTAAAAAGAACATAYTTATCAGATAAGCAAAATAGCCAAATAGGAGAAAACATGATAAACAAACATTTCAAGAGAAAAAAAAATCATTCAATTCAATTTAATAAAAACATCAAAGAAAACGTTTTTACATACTGCATTTTACAAAAAAAAAACTTGCTAGATGTAAAAATGTGGTAGAAGGGCATATCACCTTTCTACATGTAATTAAGATAATATAAGATTAATTAAGATATGCAGATGAACAACAATATTAATACAAAAATGTTTCATAAAATTCAAGCTTTTAAATGATAATTTCAAACCTCCGAAAGAAAAATAAATAAAGATTACAAGACTGAATACTAAATATAGAAAGCGATTTAAACCTTTTTAGTAGAATTTCGGAGATGTTGTTCCCATGCCCACTCGGCCGTAAGACACAAAAACAAACCAGGGAAGGGCAACTCAAATCAAACATTTTTGTCAACTTGAATTGCCTTAAACATTATACAAAMTAAACAAACAACAAAGAATAACTTAAAAACCTTTTTTTTAAGTRCAATGTCAAAATGTAAAATCAAAATATCCATCCCTATGTTCGACAGAGAAAATTCTCGMWCAATTTTGTGCGTAAGATTACTAAGGTACCACTTCAATAATAACACTTGCAATTTTCATATTATTGTTAATCGAAATATTCTTTACTTACCAGAGCCTGCATGTTGTACAGTTCATGTAGATGGTCCCATATTTGTTTAGAGGAGATATTTTTCTTTCCCGTTGATGTTGAGAATTTGTCGTGAATACAGGCCATATGGAAATGCCGATTTATACCTGAATTTGGAAATAATTTTTGAAAATTTACTGTTATAGCCAAAATAACATAGTTTTCTTCTTATTTACTCACCAACAGGCTTGTGCCCCTTCATAGAGTGAAATAAACTGACTTCAAGCTCTGGGGTCCAAACCAAAGACTCTTCTGTAGACGCCATTTTGTTTTTGAACATATCTAAGGCACATGCGTCATGCAAAATACCGCTGTTCAAAAGAAGTGCACTGCTTTAAAGTAGAAAGAAATAAAAAATGAAAGCTGAGCAGCCTGAGATGAGTTACCATCATAAACAGAAAACAATCTAAAAAAGAATTAAAAAAGAAGGAAAAGAAAAGAATAGAAAGAAAGAAGGCCGTTGAGCGCCGAAGGAGCGATTTTGTAGTTTTAATCCTCGGAAGAGCATCGAGAAGATATATGATGCATTAATTTTGTGGGAATTTTGCGGAGTAACTAAACAATAAAAAAGGCATTTTTGCTCGTGATAATAATAAAAATTTATTTGATGAATCTTGTGACTTTTTTTTCTCTTCGGCGATCAGCAACAGTTAAGAGTCCAAAATTCTTCTCGTTTCGTCCAGCCAGGGCATTGACGTTTTCAATGACATTCTCCTCTATTTCTTCAGCTTATGGCAATTTAGTAGCGTGAGATTGCTGTATCGTTGCTGTGTCATATTCGATCTTGGCCAGGTTTTCAGACGTCTGCTGCTGAAAATGATCGTTCGCGTGAAACGCTGGTCGTTGGATTGACTGCCAACAGCTTTGAATCTAGTTTCTCGGAAAGAATGCAATCAAAATATTCCATAGGACCCTCGCCCTTCAGTATCTGATGCAGGACTTGAAGTTGACTCTTTAACGTTTCCAACTTGATGTCGTCACATCGAGCTCTGATCATCGATTTTTTTTTTATTTTAATCTTATCGATTTCATTTATTATTAAGTTTTTCGGAAGCAAACAGTGTGGGSGGGGGGGGGGGGGGGGGGGGGCAGCCCCCCAGCTCCTTCGCTTCCGCGGCCCCTGCACATTACCAGGATATGGAAAGTTTTTTTAAGAAAAGTCAACAAAATACCCATCAGCCTTGTTCTTTCATTCACTTCGTCCAAAGTCGTTTTCTCGGAGACTTCTCTAAATTTAGATCTTCCGATCATGTCTGCATCTCGTCGTCAATTTCTAACAAAATGGATCAAGCAAAGTTTCAATACCTGCTGAAAATTCATATCGCTATGTTAAGCAGAGTGGCGCAGTGGAAGCGTGCTGGGCCCATAACCCAGAGGTCCAAGGATCGAAACCTTGCTCTGCTATTTTGGTTCATATTTGTGGATGGGGAAGCCGAAAAATGTATTTATACAGCCATATTCAGGAATGATGCTTTCCATCTCATTAAGATTTTCGCGATGTTAATATATCTTTAGATATTAAAATTATTTTTTACACACTTTTCCACTATATATCCTTTTAATCCCTTCGTCTTCGTCAAGAAAAACATTTCAATGATGGAGAATCCGGGTATCGATCCCGGTACCTCTCGCATGCTAAGCGAGCGCTCTACCATTTGAGCTAGTCCCCCTGTTCATATATTTAGCTTTCTTAAGTATTGCTTTAATTAATGATATGCTCATTAAATAAAAAAAACTGACGAACATGTTTATACTGTGCATGCACACTGTATGCCATCGCATTTTTATGTCCAAAATGCAAAGAGTGGAAGCCTGTCATCTATCTTTGCAGACATTGAAGGAATTAAACAAAATTCCAATTCTGGAGAGTCTAGCTGTTGATCCCTTTAAAGCAACTCTCTCATGATCAACACATATTCAAAAACACCACTGAGTAAATGAGATTTTTAGTGTGCATATGCAATGATGCATGCTGTCAACGCATTTTGACAAAAGTCGCCCAAAATGGAAGCAAAAAATCGTTTCCATATACATGTTTGTGTGGAGAATAATGCAGATGGACAGTCAGTCTACGAAAAAATTCTTTTCATCTTTTTCACCATAAGAAGGCCGAATCATACCAGAATATCTTAACTTAGACATAAAAAGTATTTTTTTGGGGGAAATTTTTTAGTCTAGTAATCTTTTATTCACTTTGTGCAAATCCTTTCTTTGGTTCTCCTCAGCACGTACCATCGACGTTTCATTTAATGAAAACAGCATAGATTCGCAAAACGTTTCTTTTTTTAAATATCTACCTTCGATCTATAGCATGCATACCAGTGTGCCTTATCAAAAATTGTCAAAGAAACACACACACAAAAAAAAAATATTATTTTCTTGATGGAGAATCCCTGTCGATCACGTAACATCTCGCAGCCAAGCCAGCGCTCTGTACTGAAACAACACTGCGTGAGTCAATGCGTTTTCCTTGATCTTTAAATATAGAAGTGTACATGCAATGGTGCATGTTAACGCGCTTTGACAAAAGGTACACAAAATGGAAGTCGTTTCAATACCTTTTAAAACATATCAAATATATAAAGCAGAGTGGCGCAGTGGAAGCGTGCTGGGCCCATAACCCAGAGGTCCAAGGATCGAAACCTTGCTCTGCTATTTTGRTTCATGTGTGGATGGGGATGCAAAAATGTATTTATACAGCCAGCTTTAGGAATGATGCTTTTCATCTCATTCAGATTTTCMCACTGTCAGAATATCTTTAGATATGAAAAGAAATTTTACACACTTCATAAAAAATGTCAATGTTATTTTATTCACGTCTTCCAAAAAATTATTTTGTTCTATAATACTATGTTCAAAACGAAAACGTACAGCATCCAATGCGTTTCTAGATCAAATCACATACATGCCAGTTTGTTTTATCCAAATTCGGGTAAAATGCTGGCTTCGATCGATTTAAAAGGGAATATAGAGGTGAACACTCATCTGTCTTTGCATAAAGAAACGAAAAGCCACAAGAAAATATTTTCAAAACTGGGGTGAATCCGGGTATCGATCCCAGTACCTCTTGCATGCTAAGCGAGCGCTCTACAAATTGGGCTAATCCGCTTATTCTGTCATTTAAAAATACATATGCTASTTTAASGTGAAAACAACACTGATTCAACTTTACCTACATATTTAATTGTTTATACTGTGCATACATACTTTGTGCATGTCAAGGAATTTTTATAATATCCAAAATGCATCTAAAATAAAGGAGTAGCCTGTCATGGCTGTCATAAATTTCCAATTCAGGAGAATCTGGGTGAGACTCCTGTACCTCTCACACGTGAGTGAGTGATCCTTAATTATTTAAGAGCGAATGTCAGTAAGGACCGAGAATGGCTGGACAACGGCGAAATTTTCAAATTCCTCATACTTTGTCCAAAGATACCCTTTAATGAGCTCTTTCAAAAAATCAAGTTTAAAGTGTCCAGCGATTTTTCATTTTGACGAAATTTACGAAAGTTTGAAAATCGACTTTCGGTCCATTTCGACAGGTGTAAACAACGCCAAATATGTCTCGCATATCTCGCTTAAAACTAAACAGATCGATTTCATATTTCTTGTGATTAATACTCAATGCGTTAAGTTAACAAACATTAAAAGAAATTTAAAAAATATTACTTTGTTTAATTTTACGATCAATATTATTGAGATGCTTTGAAACCCGTCAACTAAGAATATTTGATATAAAAAATGATAATAGAACTTAATAATACAACGGAATATTTGATTGTAACAAAATAAAGTGTATTAATAGGTAGTTATAATAAAAAAAGCACTTTCACATTTTTATGGGTTACCTGTGTTATGCATAATTATAATCCCGTACTCAATTTAACGGATTGAAGTCATATAAAATCGAGAACAAAAACAGCAAAATAGAAATAATAGTCTACACAATGTGAAATTAGATCAATTTGAAAACAAAGAAAGAGTTTTTTTAAGCATTTTGATAGTCCGTTAATTCATTAAGCGGCTACCATGATTTTGATATCGATTTCAAACTCGTGTTTACCACTGAAAAAGACGACCTCGAGGTAGAGAAATACTTCGATTGCAAAGCTGAAACTTTCACGGTAAGAATTTTAATGATCAAGGTTTACAACGAAATAGTTTTGATGCAAATAAAATATATACCAGATTATGATCCAGCTCACTAAAGTTAGTCGCATTTAGTTCACGGGTTTCAAAGCACCTCAATAATATTGATCGTAAAATTAAACAAAGTAATATTTTTTAAATTTCTTTTAATTTTTGTTAACTTAACGCATTGAGTATTAATCACAAGAAATATGAAATCGATCTGTTTAGTTTTAAGCGAGATATGCGATGTTAAATCTGAGACATATTTGGCGTTGTTTACACCTGTCGAAATGGACCGAAAGTCGATTTTCAAACTTTCGTAAATTTCGACAAAATGAAAAATCGCTGGACACTTTAAACTTGATWTTTTGAAAGAGCTCATTAAAGGGTATCTTTGGACAAAGTATGAGGAATTTGAAAATTTCGCCGTTGTCCAGCCATTCTCGGTCCTTACTGACATTCGCTCTTAAGTTTGCATGCTGCCGCAATGGTGCTTGACAACGCATTTTGATAAAAGTTATCCAAAATGGAACAAAGTCGTTTCCATGCCTGTTTAAAACAGATGAGATGTGCTTAGCAGAGTGGCGCAGTGGAAGCGTGCTGGGCCCATAACCCAGAGGTCCAAGGATCGAAACCTTGCTCTGCTATTTTGGTTCATGTGTGGAAGGAGAGCCGAAAAATGCATCTGAACAGTCACCTTTCGAAAAATTTATTTTAATCTTTTTCATCTTAAGAAGGCCGAATTACCAGAATATCATCAGCAAGATAAAAAAAAAGTTTTAGTCTAATAATTATTTTTTTCACTTCGCACAAATCCTTTCTCTGGTCCTCGTCAGCATGCACATTCCATAAACTTGTATAAATAATCATTATGTTATATATGTCAAGAACGTAAAAGATTTTGACTTTTGTCAAACGCTTTCGAGCTATATGTTCATTATCAGAACCGAAAGTGAAAGTAATTAATAGTTTGSTGAAGAAGTCGAAGAAGGGAGAATGMCCGAAACGTTCATTAAAGAGTAGAAAACCAAGTTGCAAGTTGTGTGSCTTTTTCTTCAATTTATTCTATTTACAAATGGATAATATATAATTCACTGTACAAATTACTCTACAAACTATAATTCTTGTATTTTATTTTACCTTATTCAGAGATTATTGTGCTGGCATTAAATACATGATGTGTCTACTGATATGTTATACATATATACGAGAATGGACAGCACAAAAGGGGGTTAAAGAAATAAGACCCTTTTGATGCAGCGAGTGAATTAATTTCGTCTTTTTGGATAACTGGATTTTCGCACCAGAGRCAAGACCCCTTTTGTGATGTACTCTCTCATATATATGATAAAAACATTGWCAAGTAATCACATGAGAGAGAAAGGTTGGGTGGAAAGAATGTTTATTTAAGGTGATTTGGAATTTGCTTATGTATAGAATTCTATGTCGTGCGATTTGCTATGAAGCACCTTTGCCAATGATTGACCGGGTGAATTGTGGCTGGTGTTGTTGAATGCCTGGTTGAGATTGATTTTTGCTGTATATGTTCCRTTCATGTTCGCGTTTTCTGCTTTCAAAGTTGCGTCCCGTTTCCGACCTATGTACGATTGTGCGCATGAGTCACATTCATCTCTGTAGATTACATTGGACAACCTTGTCTTTTGTGACAAACAATGAGAAATGATCAGTTAATTCTTTTAAAGGATCACGACCGGTGCACTTTTCCTATCTA